TTAGCTCTGCAAATCCTTCAAAGGAAGTGCTTCTTATTATGCAAAGCATGGAAGAAGCACTTTCTCTGACTCACTGAAAGAGCTACCTCTTTCCACCCCCCTCATAAAGTTGCTAGCTAACTGTTCCTGGCTGCTCCTATATGCACAGCTGTTTTGCTGGATGGCCTCTTAGTAACTAAGCTGAGTTCAAGTTTTGTTTTGACATATAAAATGTAAACAGTTTGGACTAAGATGCTTGACAGACCATCTTCACTTTTGCAGACAAAGATGAGCACATTGCGCTGAGCATGCAACAAACTGGTTTATGGAGATCATTTTGACTTTTCTTACAACAATCAATATAATCTATGGTAATTTCTATTCACTTTTCTTCATCAAGTATAAGCTCAAACAAATATGTAAACTAACATTTAAAAAAACAGACATTCAATATGTGTTAATGATTGGAATATTAGTCTTTGAACTGTTTGGTGCCTTGGAAGCAGAAGCAGCAATTTATGTCTAATTTAAATATTTGCACTCAAACTTTTAGAATGAAATCCTCCTAGGAGAGTTCCAATATAATCTATGAATATGAAAATACATTCTAAAACCGTATAGCCAAACAATCAGTCTAGTTAATAAATAGTTACAACTAAAATTGTGCCATGTTTAGAAAAAAAAAAAGATTTCAGTAAAGTAAGCGCTCAATATCTTTTCATGTTAATTTTTAATTTAGTATTAAGATGAAGTTATAGTGATATAGAGCAGGGGTCTCCAACCTTGGCAACTTTAAGCCTGGCGGATTTCACCTCCCAGAATTCCCCAGCCAGTTTTGTTGAAGTCCGCTGGGCTTAAAGTTGCCAAGGTTGGAGACCCCTGATATAGAGTCAGGAGGTGGTTACATGACAACATCAGTAAGAGAATGTGATCCTAGTTAGGCATGTAAGCAAGGTTAGAATATAATCAGAGAAACATTTTGTGTGAGGCCAAAAGTGTGTGAAAAAGGGGAATGGATTTATTTAGCCTCTTGGAAATAAGCATGAAAAATCATTTTGTGTCATCGGTGCCATGACCTACTTCATATAATTCTTTCCTTCACAGAACTGCACAGATGTTCAGTGGGAAGGTTTTGTCCCAAGCTGACAGTGTAATTTTGCTGATAACAACATTGGAAGAATCTTGGACTTTGCTATTGACGCATAGGATAGAATGTCAACAAATGAATTTGGTGCTCAGGAGATTATAGCTGAAAGAAAAACAATCCCTCCATTTTGCGAGGAGAGATTTGTCTAATATGCCTTGGACATACAGATGAAGATTGGTTTTCTTGTGTCCTTTCATCTTGTCCCATTATTTCATTATTAAAGCCGAGAGAAGAAAGCTTAGGAGAGTTCTGAGCTCTGCAAACCCTTGCATGAAAAGTTTTGCTGTAAATTTACCCAAGCCATCTTAAAAAAAAAAAGGATTTATTTTGCTCTCCTACGCTAAGATGGGAATATTCTTCTGCTGAGTCAGATGGCTTGGTGTAATATGCATTTTCATTTTGTTTTTAAAAGATTAAAACTGAAAGTGGAGTACTAACATTCCCTTCTCCAATTTTTCCATACCACAACCACCTGTGAGGTAACCTGAACTGGGAAATAATGACCCTGAAAATAATCTAGCAAACTTCCATGGTGACAGTGACCCTAGTTACAAGTCTCCAGGGTTCTTGGTCTAACTGCTACACTTTCACTTGGAAATGAAATGCATTACTTCACAAGAGAGTATTTCATTTACTAAAAATGTAAGGGAATATTATTTTTTTGAGTCTGTGGTTAAAGTAAACACAGACTGCAATTTTCTTTTTACTCAAGATTTTGGATTCCAGTCTGTAAGCTGTAATATATGGCTTGAATTCAAGTTTGAGTTAGTGTGCTAGTAAACCTGGAAAGCATGTTAATTCTGCTACCTTTATGTTGTATCTGCACAAAGCCTGTTTATGTAACAGTCAGTTCCTCCTCCTCCTCCTCCTTCTCTTCTTGCCCTGACATAACTCTTCAGCATGGTGTTAATATTCTGCACCATCATTAAAATCATAAATCACCACACCCCTCCAGCAGCTCAAGTCATTTTACAATAGAAAGTTGGCAAAGACATATATATGAATGAATGTAGAACCAGAGTTGACCCAGGGTCAACATTTGAACAATTCATTGTAAAAACATCTGTTTCAGAGAGGTCCTATTGATTTTTGTAATCTTTTCTATGCTACCTTGAGAAGGGAAACTTCTAATTCTAGCTCTAATTACAAGAACTGCTTAATAGTTCTTTAGGTATTTAATAGTATCTTAGATAGTATCTTTAATAGCATCTTAGATAGTATCTTTAATAGTAGATCTCTACTTAGATCTCTATATTCTGAAATCATCTGGAAGAGGTGCCATAAATAGATCCATTTCTGAGTCATATTACAAAGGCAATATTGGCAATATTAAATCAACATTTTGCCTAGCTGTGGCTGCTGTATTGATTCCTTCTGTTCTTAACTGCCTAACCTTTGCCAACTTTCTTGTACTAAAGATTAGTTCAGTTGATGTGAGTTTTCACATTTACGTCTTTCATTCTGTTTCCACTGGGACATTGTCACTGGAATAAAAATATTACAGTACTCAAAGTTAAGAATTTGAGATGCACACTAAGCTCTTCCTCATAAGAAAAAGAGGACCCTCAGGAGAAGTTTACAATTATCTGCCTCCACCTTATATTTATGAATGCTGGGCACATTTATACACTTTATGGTAATATATCCTAATTGTATGTCAGAAATATGGCATATAGGAGAGTTGTTACAGGCCCTGATTCTTTTTAGCTTTGTTTAGATTTGAGTTCATGATGCATTTAATAAGAATGGTCTTCCATATTTTTAATAGTTAGATCTTTGGGGAATGTTGATTTGTAATAAATATGAGAGTGGTTCCAAAACCAAACATTTTGTTTTATGACTACATATGAGTATGTAAATAAAAGAACCATTCTTCCAGTTCTTCTAAACTGAGCACCATACTTCATTTACCTGTATATGCTGTTTGTACTGCTTTGGCATTCCATTCTCATTCCCAGAATAAGTGATTGTTACTGTTGGTTTGCCTCTGAATACCAATGATGTAAAAATTGCCCTTCATGGTCTTCAAAATAAATATCTGATGAAGGTATGGTGAACTATTCCACACATGGACAAGGACTGGATAATACAGTACTGGTTTTATTACTTTATGTACTTATATTAGACATATAGGTATATTTTACTGCTTTGGGGTTAACTTGCTGGAGTTGATATATGAACATGAAAACCTATTGACCAGTAGCAGAGCAATATATAAACTTTGTGTAAATATGTGGGATTGTTCTCATTGGACATTAGCTATGAAAAAAATGAGGTTGAATCATTCTTTCCCTATTTAAATTTTTAAAACAAATGTCTGCTACATTTGTTCAAAACAGTAATATGCATGCAAAAAAGAAATGTTTGCTTTCTTTTGAAATAATAGACAATATAAGAGTTTCCTAATGTTATCTTCCTCTAACAGGGCTCTTCCAATAAATATTTTGGTTTCATTATTAGATAGTTGAGAATTCTGTGTTCATGTCCTCTGTCAGCGGAAATGTTTCTATGATTTCAAAATTTAACACTTTTATGCTTAAATTTAACACTGAGCTTTTTAAATATTCCTCCTCTCTTAGGAGCTTTAATTTTTGTAGCCCTCAGTCATTGACAGGGGATTTCATTTTAAGCCTTTACTATGCCTATTTTTGTGCTACCCCCTTCGCTGCTGAACAGAAACAAAAATGGATTCGTTATGTTGGAAGCATATAACTGGATTCAATGCACATTATTTTTCTTGGATGACATGTCAAATTATTAAGTTAATTGTATTTAACTAAGATCCAGAGTATAAAAGCAGAAGATAATGCACGGAAGTTTTCACCAAGAGAAAGATAATTCGTAAATGTGAAGCTTATAGTCTGTTTTAATTGATATCCCAAAAATCTTCTGATGTCTAGAAAATATACCAGTTCACTTCACAGGCAGATAAAAACTTTCAAATATCTTTAATTTTATATATATATATATATATACACACCACAAATCTGAAAAGCCTTTTAATTTTTCAATTAAACCTATTTTCCTAAAAAAAACTCCACAATGTTTGTGATACAATAACACAATTAAGAAAGCATATTGAATATATCACTTTTATTCTGTTCCTATAACCCAGTTAGTGATCATCTCAATCAGATCCTGTCACTGGAAATTTTGATCACACAAAATAACCCAAAATGTGAGCACGCGAGTGGAATAACCATTTGGGAAATACAGAATTCTGTTCACTTTCTTCAAGAAATTTTTGACATGAAGTGTTGGATTCGTAGAGCAAAGTTTTATGACGTCCCTAACTCCCCCTCCATAGAAGTAGAAGGCAACAGTACTGAAGGCTTGGTTTGACCTCTGCTTCTGTTTGGGGTAAATTAAATTGGAAAACAATTCAGCTGATTACCCAGTTGGGCACTACCTTGATTAACCCAACTGATGGTCTCAAGGGAACTGGAGGTTGTATTACAAAGGGAACAAATATTCCTGCTGAGCTTCTATTTGAAGGATTATAAATTACAAACCTGTATAAATCTTTAGAAAAGGTCGTAAAAGATAGGTACACAAGAGACAAGAGCTGAAATGAAATAGTCTACTCATTCTATGTGCCAGAAGGGATTAATACCAGAAGAAAAAAGCTCTCGATAAATAGGAAAGCTACATGACTTGAATGTTATATTTAAAAGTGGCACTACATCTGAAGAGTTCTGAACCAAAGTGGATATCATGAATGTTCTAACCCAATGCATTATTGCTGCATGAAATATGCCACTGGATGATTTTTAGAGCTGACCAGTGCTTGACTCTGTACTGGGTTACTTTAGACTCATTATTTTTTTTATCCAAGGGATGAATCTGGACACTTTTGTGTAAACACCATATTTGCCTTTCCGTGCACATCCTTCCCCCCAGCTGATAATCCCAGTAATAAAGTGGGTATCTCTGTATGCAGTGATGTGGGGCCCCCCACTGTCTCCCTGGCATGCATCTTGAGGCAGAGTATCATAGCCAGCACAGAACATATTTTGAGTAATTCGAAAATCACTGGAAAGCATGCAGGTGTGCCTGTCCACATAAGGAACCGTAATGACTTTAAGTGTGTTAGAGGTCGGTTCTTTAAATCGAATACGCCCAAATCCACTAACGATGCCAGAATCTTGTTTCATGAGGACTTCGTTGGCAAAATCAGCAGTGGGAAGGCAGGCAGGAACCACATTTTCAGAGAACTGGATAGGGGTCTTCATTCGGATGATGGCTATATCATAGTCATAGGCGACACGATCAAAGTTTTGATGCACATAGTAATAGTTGGGAGGAACAAATTTTGTATGCACATATATTTTATCCACAGAAAGAAGACGTCTGGTTTCTTTTCTTGATATGTCTATTTCCCCTGTGGAAGACCAACTTAGTAAAAATTGTATGTATGTACAACATAACTATCCACATTTCTGATAACCAGATAAATATTTTTATATTGAAAAATAACTTATAGATCCAAGAAACATATCTAATCAGAATTATGTATCATTGTTACAGCTATAACGCTGCTTTTTGTACTTGATTTACAAAGCAGAGTTGGCAGCATCTGTAACAAACTGTGGCAATGCCAAAATGCAAAGCATGTGATGGCATCATCACACCATTGCCACGATAACATATTTATATTGGGACATCTGATGCAAATATGTATGCTAAAGCATTTTACCATCTGTATTGCTTGTTCCTTACCCATTCTCACTTCTTGTGGTGAATGCTTGTGATCAAAATATCTTGGTTACACAATATTCTCAGCCAAAAATCAAACGAAATATATTACAGTTTTTTCAGTGTTTTTCAGCCTTGGCAGCTTTAAGATAGGTGGAGCATGCTGGCCTGGGAATTCTGGGAGTTGAAGTCCACCCAACTTAAAGCCACCAAGGTTGAGAAACACCAGCTTACAGATGCTAGTGTTGTGTAACATACAGATGTAGCATATAGGCTACAGCTACAGCACCCTTAAACCAGGGGTGAGATTCTACTGGTTTGGACCAGTTTGGGTGAACCAGATGTTAAATTTGCATCTGGTTCACTGAACCGGTATTTTAATTGACCAGCTGGCCTCGCCCACCCTGCCGCTGCCCTTCCAGGAGTCTTAACACGGCCCATTTTTGATACAGGTAAGTGCAGGGTCCGCGCGGAGGCTCTGGGAAGAAGAAAAACGGGCCTTTTAGAAGTGCAAAATGGGCCTGTTTCCGGCATCTGGAAGGCCTCCAGAGCCCCGTGGAGGCTGTTTTCACTCTCCCAGAGGCCCGAGGGAAACCTCTGGACCCTTGGGAAGGTGAAAAATGGCCGTCCCGGAAGTTCCGGTAGGCCACGCCTACCAGGGCCACTCCCGCCCAGCAACTGGGCAGCGAACTGGTTACTGGGATTTTTGTATCCCACCCCTGCCTTAAACATAAAATGTTAAAAATATAACCATAGCAGAGAGTGAAGAATGTCATTAAATGCAATTGGATAATTAAATTAATTTAATTTGATGCATTAGGATAGCAAAGAAAGTGTACTCTGATTTTGCCTAGCTTGAGACATATTAGTAACCAAAAATATATATTTAATTAAGGCTGCAATGTTATGCATACTAATTTGGGATTGCATCAGAAGACACAGTTGGCTTGCACTGTAAATATTTTTGAAGCTAGACAACAATTTAAATACCCACCTACAACAACTCTAATGTACTTGGTCTGGTTAATGCAGTGGGCTGCAGTAAGCACATAGATGGGACTCAAAATTGTTCCTCCACAAAACCCATCTCCTTGATCATTTATCAGAAGTGCCTAAAAATAGAAGTCATAAAGTTATATGGCTAAAGCTGTCCAGAGTCACCTCATAGGAGAGATAGGTGGCATAAAAATGTAATAAAATGTAATAAAATAAAATAAATAAATAAAGAAATAAATATTATTCTTGGAATATTGATTTCATAACAGATGGTGAGGAACATCTTCAAAGAGAGTCAAAAAAGGCAGCTGGGACTATGGAATTTAAAGTCCTGTGTTTTTTTTAAATCTAAGTCATATAACAATTGTTGGAGCTTTCGTTGTGCAGTCACAGTCAGTATCTTTACTTCTCATACACACACACACACATACACGTTATGAAAGTAATTGGATATTAAAAGTAATGCATGTTTCATTGTTTCAACAAATGTAGGCTATAAATCAATTAGTATTCTCTCATACAGATTGAACTCATTTACCTGCCATGGACATTCACCCAGTTTGCAGTCTGTTCCATTAACAACTCTGATATCAGGGCTTGGATTATCAGATTTTTTCAGCAAAGTTGCATTCTGGGACTGCACAGTGGGAACTAAGCCAGAGAAATTTGTAGGAGTTTCAACAAAATTATTTTCATCAATCGCATCATAGTCATCAGAAAAATCTGTTTGAAAGTCAGGCAGACTTGCTTCCCTCTTGTTCCTTGCTTTTATATTTCTACCACACGAAAAGTCACCTGAAAAATCACAATGAGGATTTCAAATTAAATGATATAGCAATATTAGAACATGTGGTCAAGAAACAAGAATACAAAAAAAAAAAAGACACCTTTATATCTAATTAATCTTAGTCTGAGTTAGAAAACTATTAACAAATCAGAAAATTGCCATCTCTATTCTTTTAATAAAGGATAACTGTTGCTGAAAACTAGATATTGGAATGCTGATTAATTAGCCCAGCCCACTTTTACCAATTCTGCCATTACATAAGGAAACAATTCCTATCAAAGAATAAAGCAATATTTAGATAGCCTTCATTGTCAATGGACAGAGATAGATTGTGCCAGTAAAGGTACAGTGGAGTCAGAGTTGAAAAGCTATCAGGATGCATAAAAAAGCCAAATGGAGATCTGACCCTTTTGTTACCATATAAAATGCTGCCTTCCTCCTTTATAATAAAATAATATACAACCAACAGTCAAACTAAGTTTTTTTTTTAAGTTCTGACTTAAAATATGACAGAATGTACATAGCCCAGTAGGAATAACACACCAGTCTTTGGCTAACATGGATATGAGAAAACCAAAATAAAATGTTATAATTAATTGTTTTAACTGAAAAAACACATTCATACCTCCAGCAACACAAGAGTGCCCATCATCTCCCAAAAGGTAACTTTCAGCACATGAACACTGAATTTCGTTTTGAACAGGTTTGCAGAAGTGCCAACAGTTACCATTGTCCACTCTGCAGGACTGATATAAGACTATGTGAAAAAATAAGCAGACAAAGCATTAGTAGATTTTTAAAAAATCATCTTCTTTATACAAAGATAAAATTGTGGCAGCCATAGCCAATCTTCTTAGCATAGCAATCCTATGTTGCTTGCTTATAATGGGATGTTAGGGAAACTGGTTGCAGAAGCAGAAGTGATGCTGGTAGGAATTTAAAGTCCTCACTCTTTTCTGCCGATGGACCTTGTCTCCCACTATTGATGGGAAAAACCTGAAGAAAACTGTAAGCTTCATATATTTTCCCACAAAATAGAGGAAATTTATCAACTAAACCTGGGATTCTATTTTTTGGGGAGGGGGGAAATTAGTTGCACATTTCTTTATCATGGCTCCAAATGGTTCAGCCATTTTGGTACATGTCCTTTAAACTAGAAATAGCAGGTTAGTGTATCCAAATTTTAGATATTAATGTAAAAACTCCACCCATTTCACATATGCATTATTAAGCATGAGCTAACTATGGCTGGTCAGAAAAAGAATCTTGAAATCATAGTTTCATACCATGACCAAATAGTGTTAAAAGAGAAATAGACAAATTAAAGGATAACCAAGCTACTGCTCTTTTTCACTGTATATTGTACCAGCTGTACACCAATAAGAGACGAGGATGTTAGCTACAAAAACATAGTCTTTGACCTGGTCCATCAGGGGTGGAATTCAAATTTTTAACAACCGGTTCTGTGGGCATGGCTTGGTGGTCATGTGACTGGGTGGATGTGGCTTGGTGGTCAAGTTATTGGCTGGGTGTGGCCAACTCAATATCACTCACATCGAGGCATGCATCTCCTCGCCTGGTCTCTCGTGACTATGGGGATGCTGCAATAGTTGTAGGTGTGGAAAATGGTCATAAGTCACATTTTTCAGTGCCATTGTAACTTTGAATGGTCACTCCACACAAGCAAAGTACCAGCAAAGGAGGGGGAGACGTTCCTGAGACAGGAAGTCTAGTCCTGCCAACAATGTAATAAGGGTTAACGGAGGGTGAGTTTCTGTAAGCAACACCAGAATGTTTTCTTCCTGCCTTCCTTACAGGATTAGGCCAGTAATTTCTTCTAACAACCGGTTCTCCGAACTTCTTAGAATGTTAACAACCGGTTCTAGCGAATAGGGGCGAACCTGTAAAATCCCACCCCTGTGGTCCATCTAGTTGCTTTTTATCATCTAATATTTCTGAATGGATTGTCCATATTCTTAGGAACATCCTTTCCCGTTACTTCTGCCAATAATATTGTTAAGAAGCTACCATATATTCAAGAAACCACCTACAAAACCATTAACTTTACTTCATAAACTAAATCTAGGCCACATATGTTTTTCTTGGATGGCAGCTAAACCTTGGAAAATTGTGTTAATTTTATTTGGCCATTCTTCTTCTTCCTCGTTCCCTCCCCTTGACAAGTCTTGTAAAAATTTGAAAAGATGTGAGATTATTTTCCCTAAGTCTTCAAAAATTTCAGTGAAATCTTATGGGAACTGACAGTTTACTTAGATTGAAGCATCATTGAGGCCATAGCAATAAATGGCTCTATTCTTTCCCTTAAGTCTTCTGAATTGCTCCAGCTCAACTTACCATATTGACAGTTTTTCCCTTCATAGCCAGCCAAGCAGGTACAGGTATAACTACCAATGCCATCTTTGCATGTCCCGCCATAATGACAGGGGTTTGATGAACACTGATCCCCATCTAGCATGAAAAAAGAAGAAGTTGAAATCCAAATGCAGAAATACTGTACTGTACGTTCAGAAGAAAAATCGAAGTTACTGTTTCCTGGAAGAGAAGTTCAAATGCAGTACCAAGTATGGAAATTTTAAGATGGCCATAATGAATAATACTTATTCTCAACTTTGGATCAATCAACTTTACAAAAGAAATATACTGCACAGAGGAAGAGTTTGCATGCAAATTACCAAGAAAGGTTTCTCACAAGTTATATAGCAAATCTAAGCCAGTTTAACACATGGAACTACATTACTTCAGTCCTCTATAGGAAAAGGAAACTTGGTTCTGTGGACAGATGGTGCTATGGATAAAGTTTGACCAAATCGTGTAGCTTACTTTACTCATGAGGTTAAATCAGAATATATGACCTGCCTTAGAACCTAACAGAACACATTTCTTAAAAATAATTGTTGATCATTGAAATTATTAGATGACTTGATTTGAGGATGTTAATGGCCACATATATTATGGATATGTATAGACTTTGAAATGTCCCACATATGGATAGTAATAAATTGTTTATGACCTTATATTAGAGTATCTATAACTGGGATTTTTCTAAGCTTTGAAGGACTTAAGAATCTGAATTAATAAAAAATGGGGATCGACCGGTCACTTTTAATTTATCCTAAACATACAGTACTTTTCATTTTAATCAAAATTAATATATTGATTCCATCAAATACATTGCATATATTTAACTATTATGTTAGGAAAAATGTATGGAGCAAAAGCAGATGATCTCTTACCTACATAAACATTCCAGAAGGTCTCCTGATTAGAAAAAAATACATACACGTTAGAGTTTAACAGTATTAAATAAAAATTACAAGGCCAGGAAATTGAACAAAAATAATTTAAGAAGAATCTTATGCAACATTTTGGTGACTGGTGATTAAGCACTAATACTAATATATCACAATATGTCATAAACAGTTTTCCTCTCTCAACTGCACTTCCACTGAAAAGTTATTTCTATATTTTAAAAACCGTTATCTTTTTGTATTCTTTTAATGCAAATATGGACAGTCCTTTAATGAAAAGAATGATTAAGAATTTACCCACGCCAAGAATGGTTTTTTTATTTGCTTTGCAGGGTTTTAAGCATGGTTAATCACATGATTAATTTTCAAATATAAAAAGTGGATGAGAAATGTTACAAGATAATAAATGAATACAAATCTTGTAAGAGCTGTTTACACTTTAGTGTGAGAATGATCTGGGTGACACACAGATTTGTTGGGTGCTCAGAGTGTGTGATGGAAGTGCCTCCACATTCCAGTTTTCTTTAGCAGGATGAAGAAAAGAGATATATAGTCAAAGAGGATGGAACAGCCAAAAGCAACAGAAAGAACCAACGAAAAAAAATGATCTGGTAAAATATTCCATGATGAAGACATACTTGAAACCCATACCATGCCACCTGATTTTGATTCTGAAGGCCTCAAGAAATAAGATGCATAGAAACACACATGCACCAAACGAGTAGATAGAGAGAGCAGTCAAAGATACACACTTACAGTTTTCTCGTTATCTTCAAATGCCTCCCTGGCTTCTTCTTTTGAACATCTCTCCTCAATGCATTCCCTTTCAATGTTTCCAGCTTTAAATTCCTCAAACAGTGAATTAGCTCGTTTTGTTCTTTGCAAAAATCTATTTGCCACTTTGCTTTTTAAGAATACTAAAGAAGAACAAAATAAAGATCATATAGACACGAACTATTTTTCCTGCCCCCCCTCCCCCAGCCAAGAAATAATATTCTGTATAATTATTTTTAGGGATAATATTACAAAAAATGACAGTCCTGAGTTTTAAAAATCATTATTTCTGACATGGGAAGGATTTCATAAGCTTTTTATGAGAGGAAATATAAATATGTCAAATGTGCAAGATTTAATAATCTAATAATGATTTATTAGATTGACAAATCATAATCACGAACAGAGTTTTATCAGGCATGACCTGAAAGAAATAGCCTCCTATGGACATACAGAGCAACACAGATTATACTTATTATACTACAATGAGATCCATAAGTTTACACACAAACTTTTTCAACCACTGAATTCCATCACATGGGATTACAAAAGGATCCAAAGTATATTTGGAGAACTTGCCGATGTCAGAGAGCTGAACTTTATAGCCAAAAGTTTTGGCTGCAGTACATATTCCATGTAATGACTGATTCAGAAATAAATTTGGATCCATCATCCACATTACTTATTCACTTCTAGTGTCTCCTGATTCTTCATTTAATTCTTACACGAATCTTTGTTCTTATGCTTTTATGAGTCCTGAAATGAGACAATCTTGTATCCCAATGGCCATTCCTTTGATTTCCTATAGAAAGTAAATAATTTCAGGCAGACTTTTTATTTCTACAGTTCTAAAAACTGCTAAAAACTCCCTGAAATTTTTTTCCCCTAAATGTGGCCAATCATGTACGTATATTCTGAATTGCTGGAATATTCTTAGCTATCTCTATGTACTCTTGATTTGCTACAAGACAACTCTAGCAAGTTGTTTCCATAGTACCAGATCTAAAGGTCTGCTCTGATCTTTCTTGACCTTTCTGGCACCTTTGATAAAAATGATCCCAACTCTAACTTATCTGGTTTTCCCTTTATCTATCAAACAACCATTTTCTGATGTAGAAAGCTAATCCTGTCTCTTTCTTAGTTCCCACAACAGAAGTTATTGTTCTCTTGTTTTATTCTACTGCATTACATTTTCCAACCTTCTGCCTCTGTATACTTTCAATATCAATCTATCCTAATTGACCAAATTTATTTATTTACAGAATTTATTGAAAGTGCCCCAAAGTCTTGGGTAGCTTCTAGTATAAGCAATACTTATTAAAAACACAAGAAAAATAATTCTCCAGATGAAAACAACATTACTCAACACGTAAGAAAGATTCAACAATGGCTCCACAGACACCCTAAACCTAGACCTAGGAAGAGGCCCAAGTCTTAAGAATCTTCCAGACTCTAAGAGAGTGAATGCCATGTTGTCTCTGGGGAGAGGGCAGGGGTTGTGAAAGAGAAAGCATATTTCTTCAGTTCCACAAAATGACATTTAATTAGAGGGCACACCTACTTGTTCTACTTTAAACATTCACAAAGCACATTTCACAAAGAATTCCAAGGCAGATATCCATTGGGTAAAACAGTTTCAGATAGTCCTCAAAATATGACCGGATTGTCTGTCACTAAGCAATGATGGATCATTAAAGGAATCATCATGTGATTTTACTACTTTTTTGCCATGGTCTTTCAGTTAATCATGTAGTCATTAAAAAAATCACATAGTGATTAAGCAAATCCAGGATCTCCTGATCGCAGGGATGCCTTAATAGTAATAAGGGTGAGGAATGGTCATAGGTCAGTTTTTCCAGTGCCGTTGTACTTTTAAACAGTTGCTAAATATGTAACATTATATAATATATAATAAGTATATAATAAGTATATAACAAATATGAGAGATATAAAACCTGTTCAAATAGGAATCAGACAAGAATTCAATTCAAGCAATTAAAATGCCTGAGAAAATAGAATGGTTTGGTTTTGTAACAAAAAGAGAGACTAGTACTAATGTACACAGCTGCAACACTGAGGAATACATTCCTCAATAGACTTTCTTTCTCTTGCTAATAGATAAGTAAAACTTGGGAAAAGCAGATCTCTCAATCCTGATCTCTCACAAGGAGAAGCTCTACCTTATTTGGATTCAGTTATAATGCATTATTCCTCATCCAGCCAATCATTGGTGCAAGAATGGGAGCCATAGTATTTTTTGAATAGGTCATAGAGAAATATGTGTGAGTATCATCTGCATATTGATGATGCCTTGCTCTAAATTTCCTGGTGAATTTCTTCAGTGTTTTGATGTACCACAGAAGACAGAATATAGGTCTGAGGAATACCACATTATAGCTGCACTTGAAAAAGTCCAAGAGACACAGATTAAAGATAACTTGAGAGACAGAATAGAGCCATTGAAACTGTTGCCAAAATATGCAATACAAAAACACATTATGCTTGACTCAATAAAAAAATACTGGAAGTTCAAGAAGAACCAACAATCATTATTGTAGAGTTGTAATTGCAGGAATGTTCCTATCTCGGATGGCAAACCTCAGATAAAGAATGTTTCCAAGCAAATACAACTCAGGCAAACAAAGTCACTCATCTAAAGGAGGATTAGAGAGAGGAAGTAAACATATGTTAGACTTTAACTAGAGATAATTAATTGTGTTGGTTGCTATGCTAAACAGTAACAAAAGTTAAGCAGAAACCAAAGTTAACCAATGTTGGAGGATAACTAAAAATGTGTATAAATGCAAGAATAGATTCCAATAAAGATCATCATGATTCAGTTGATCATGATCAAACAACTCGACTGCCTCGTCATTACAACACATTATCTATACTAAAAGATTATCCATCAGGCTAATCAAGACAGCCTTAACCTCAATAATCTGTACTAAATCCAATTTGAAATGGGTTGAGATAATCTACTTTTGTCATCCCTGTAAGGTAATCCAGACAAGAAGCACCAACCATGAATACCAATACTACTTTCAACATAAAATTACAGCAACGAATCATGCAATTCTGAAAGTAACTCTTCCTTTCCTTACTTTTACTTTCTTGAAAATTAGGAAATTCAATTATTGTCTATCTCTGATGGATACAGGGATAACTACTTAAGAAATCTAATAATTTCCTCATTTAAATAGGGTGGAATCTTTCTATCTCCAAAGAGGCATTTATGAAAGCATCTCTAATAACATCCTGGACTGATGTTACAAGCCAAAGATCCCGAGGACAAATGCTGGAACATTTCACAGAAGATGTACGCCCCTGTCCAGATGTTGTCATCACAAGGAATGCTAGGCATATCATTTTGAGCTTCTAAATGAAAGTCATGATAGAAATCTAAGAAGTATTTAAATGCAACAAATAAGTTGCTATTTGAATAAAAAATTCTTCATTAGAAAAATTCATTAGAAAATTTGGAGGGATGCTGCTGATTCTTATACACTTTTCAGTGACCCCAATAAGAATCAACTGTTTCTCACTGCCTTTTGTTTGAAATGCTGTGCATTTAAACTCACATCTGTTAAACTATAAGCCAGGCTTATTCTCCATCCCATGTGGCAGAGCTATCAGCCATTAATTGTGTATTATATTAGGCAGGGGTGGGATTCAAATTTTTAACAACCGGTTCTGTGGGCATGGCTTAGTTGGTGGATGTGACTTGGTGGTCATGTGACTGGGTGGACGTGGCTTGGTGGCAATGTTATTGGCTGGGTGTGGCCAACTCAATATCACTCACATCAAGGCACGCATCTCCTCGCCTGGCCTCTCGTGACTGTGGGGATGCTGCAACAGTCGTAAGTGTG